CACAAACCCTAAGCCCATGCCTAAACCTACCCCCTCTAAACCCCCGCATTCCCCCGCCGCCCCCTCTAAACCCCCTGCATTCCCACCGCCGCCCCCCCCCCTGCCGGCAACACCTTAGAAACCTCCATCATCCGAATTTTTTAAAAAAATCCACAATTACAACACCTATAATACTAGATCTATTAACGGAGTATTAAATCGCAAAATAAAATTACAAATAAAACGAACACAAAATTTATAAGAATCGAAAATTAAAGCATGAATTAAAAAAAAACGATTCAATGAGAGCAAAAAACACAACTTACCTCGATATATAGCCCACAAAATGCAAAAAATTGATGCCGAAACTCGATTCCGACAACGATCCCGGAAAAACCGCCGGTTTCAATGGAGTACGCCGGATATATTTTTCTGTTTGAGAAACATCAACCCGAAACGCGAAAACTTTATTTAACCACATAGTTTCGCGTTTCAGAAACGCGAAACTAGCTATATCCCAATAATCGCGTTTCAGAAACGCGAAAACGAAGTAATGCTCTCCCTTTTTTCGCGCTTCAGAAACGCGAAAACGAAGTAATGCTCTCCCTTTTTTCGCGTTTCAGAAACGCGATTTTAGTTTAAAACTGAAAAATAAAAACGTTATTTACACAACTCATTTATCGTTCGGTACAACTAAGCCAACTGTGTTTATTTCAGTGATGAATAAACAAATAACTACTTTTCTTACCCTAAAGTGAATGATCCTTTAGTGTTTATCAAATAATTAGTGCTTTATTCGACATGTATATATCCTATCACTCTACCACTATAGTAATAATTAGTAATATTACTAAAACGAACTGCGACGTTTTTTTTTACAAAAATATTACCAATATAAATTATAGAAACATCCAAACCAACAACTAACACAAATACAAACGCAAACTGATTCATCCTCTGAGGTTTACTACATGAATGATCGAAACAACACAAAAATACGAACACTAACAGAATCATCACAACACACGATGTGGAAAATCATCACTACGCATCATCATAATCATCAGAATTGATATTAGGCACACCACGAATTCCATATGGATCGTACAGTTTATCAATAGCGGTCCTGTCAGCAGGTGTATGAGAAAAAGGGCATTCCACAGCATCATGATCTAAACTTCCACATCGTGCGCAAACTCTCGCATATGGGCAAGCCCTGGCATTATGGCCTTGTAGCTTACATAAACTGCAAGTTTGGAGTCTTCGCTGGCCAAATTTGCTTGTATAATCCATCATACCTTTTTTCCGATTCACAGGCTTCCGACTTCGGCCAGCATGGTGGACAAGTTTAGTGTCATCTGGCCTGATCTGCCACGTTGCCTTTGGCCATGGTTTCATGATTGGGTTGAGTTCTCCAGAAAACTGCTGGTACCACTGATGCGTAGTGTAATATGGATCAAAAAGTGGGAAGGGATCGTCACCTAGCTCACGGGGAACTCGAAGTGCATGGGAACAAGGAAATCTGAAAGTCTGCCACCTTCCGCAAATGCACTCTCGATTTGCATACAGCACAACTTGCTTCTCCTCAGGCCTTCCATGGTTGATTATCAGGTGCTATTGTAACCACTTCGTACTTCTGGTTTCTCTTGCTAAACCGGTTGACCTTTTTGCCTCAATGATTTCTTCCGGGCCTCTTCATACAGTTTCATTGGCTTAGGAGGTAGAACATTCTGACGTTTTTGGATCATATCAATGTTTGCCTGAAACAGATTGTTGCTTTTCTGAAAGGATGCTAGGATCAAAGCTGTGATCGGGAAGAATCTAGCACCTTTCAGCACATTATTGAAACTCTCTGAAATGTTAGTGGTCATTTCTCCCCAACGACGCCCTCCATCGTGTAAACAGGTCCATTTCTCAACACCCAGCTTCTGAAGCCAACGAGCAGCAGGCTCATTTTTTTCTTCTAATTTTTGCCACTCTGCCAAATACCTTGTCTTTTGCGTCGCTGAACCAATCATTTGACAGTTGCCTCCCAGTTTCTCCTTTCGAAAATGCCCAACCAAGTTTTCTTTAACATGCTCTAGACAATACCGGTGGACTCCCATCTCTGGGAATATTTGCAACATGATGTCCATGGCAGTAAGGATACTCTGATTTCGATCAGAGATAATACATGTCTTCTTATCCTGTAGAGTAAACTTTTTCAAATACTTCAAAAACCATTTCCACCTGTTTATAGTCTCTTCGTCCAAGAGCAAATGCGATGGGAACAATCGTGCCGTTTGCGCACTTTACGCATGCCACAATTAGTTTTCCTTTGTAGGATCCTCGCAGGTGAGTGGCATCGATGTTTATTACTGGGCAGCAAGCATGAAATAACTGTATAGATGGCCCAAATGCCCAGAAAACATACCTACATACAAACCTTTGCGAGCTTCCTGAATTTTCCTTAAACTTGAATTGCACACAAGTGTCTGGGTTTGTCATGAACAATGCATCGAGGAAGCTGGGCAGTTGTTGAAAATTACTTTCCCATGTACCATACAGAGCCTCAAGTGCTTGTCTTCTACCATGCCATGCCTTCTTGTAGCTACATTCGACTTGGTACCTCTTCAAAACTTCTATTTGAATTTGGACAACTGCAAAATCTGGATGTTTTCGCACATTTTGGGCAACCAGTCTAGCAATCATAGAAGACGTGACGTTTCGGGACTCGTTTCTCTTGTTTGCCCCAAGACAATTGTGGGAATCGGACCATACCACCATTTTCCAAGTATCGGTGGCCTTCTGTAGCGAAACTTGCGCCTTCCACAGACAATCATAGTCGTGAAGACGCTCTTTCGGATATTTGGGTCCACACGTCTCGCATTCGAGATATCATGTTCGTTTAGAGCTCGTTTTCACCCGGAAAGTTCGACCATGTACCAAGTTCCATTCTCCCACTGCTGCTTGTGCCTCAGGCTTGTTGGCGAAATGTATATCAAGGCCTAGCGTCAACGGATTGCCATCCCACATTTTAATCCCATCACAATCTACTTCCTCTAAAGTCTTGTCCCATCCACTTATGTCGTCAAAAACATATGGGACTGAAGAAGATGACTCAAAATCAGTGTCGTCATCTGAGTCCTCATCCGATGGGACGTACTCATCATCACTGCTTTCGACACCCCCACCATCTTCATCTTCATCTGCATCTTCATCTTTATCTTCATCTTCATCTCCATCTTTATTGTCTTCAACTGTTCTACCACCACTAGTGCTGGCACCAATATCCTGGCTAGATGTACTTGCATAAACATGGCCTGTTCTCTCAACATTTTCAGGGTACAATTCTGGCCATTTATCAGCACAAAGATAAATGAACCGAACAGTATTATCATCATTAATGTGCACACGAGACCTTTTTCCTGACCTCTCCGTCCATACCAAAGAAAAATCAATATACAGCCCTTCTCTATCAACTTCCATCACACCATATACCTTATCAACAAGTTCCGAGAAAAATCTAACATACGATCAATGATAAGATAACCGTCCGGCGCATCCCGTTGTACCGTGATAGTCCCATCAGGTTCAGTTGTATAAGTCGTATTCCAGTATACTTTCAGACGAACTGTCTCCATGAAAGACATTTGCGGCCTGCAAAATCAATTCCTACGAAATCAGAACACTAGCATACATTTTGAATTTTAGTTCTGCGGAAACAGTATTTACCCCGTTCACAGATTTAATAATTTCAAAAGAACAACTATACGCCTGAATTTACAAATTCATTTCTATGCTAAAAATTAATATAAAATCTAAACCTTATGCCCGAATTACATAATTTATTCTTATGCTAAAAATATTCAAAAATTCAATATCATTATTATAATTTTATTTTATTTTACAGAAATCGATATACAATAATTTACAACGCTCATCTAATTTAACATTCTATCAACTAATATTTCTTTCAATTCACTTTATCAGCCTAATTAAAAAATCACCGTTAATTGACTAAATCACAATTATTTATTAACTAATAATAATGCGTAAATCATCCTATGCTCACAATAAGGCATAAAAGAGTACATATTTTCTATAACGAAATAAACTTACTTGAATGTTGAAGGAAATGAGAGCTTTCACGGATTCAGGACTCAAATCAATCTTCTTTAACTTCGGAGCAACTTCTCAAATTGAAGGAAATGAGAGCTTTCACAGATTCAGTCAAGTCCTCCGGAGTGAAACTTAAAATCGGAGCTCAACAGAATGAAATAAGTTTAGGAAGAAAAATCGGAGCTGAATGGAAAAAGTTTGCGAAAAAATGCTGTTATTTTGCTTGGTTTGGTATATAAATCTTAAATTTCGCGTTTACAAAACGTGAATACACTCAAAGACTTATCATCAAAAAACACATGGAGCCGAATGAGTGGATGAGGAGATTTTCTGGATATTTTCGCGCTTTCAAAACGCTAGAAAACTTTTTTCGCGTTTTCAAAATGCTAAATTGTTATTCTCAAACCGCAATTTATTTAAAATTTAAAATTTATAGCTTTTCGTCTTTTTAAAACGCGAAAATAATTTCTCGCGTTTCTGAAACGTTATTTACGTTTTTCGCGTTTCCAAAACGCGAAAAATGGTTCTCCTTTTTTAGTTCAATTTTTTTTTTCCTTTCGTCCCGGTTGAATTTTGGAAAACATGATTAAAATGATTCGCGTTTCACAAACGCGAATTGTTAATCTAATTTTCTTGTTTCGCGTTTTCAAAGCGCAAGAACATTATATTTGTCCACAAAATAAACTCTACACATTTTTTGTTCCACACTTTTGGGTTTGACTCACCCAAAAGTCAAGCACCCAAACTAATACCGTCCCGTCAGCTTATAAATAGCCCATGTACGCAGGTAGCTAAGCATATACTATAATAAATCATATAATCTGATATAATCCTTCATAAAGCCAGGCAATTCAAATTGTGTAAGACTGATGGAGTTCAAAGGATCGGCGTATTTGACTTTTATGTTTTTATTCATCGGAATGAGCTTATGTAGCGCTTCCAGATTAAGCCACTTGGACAAGACACCCATCAAATCCATTAAGGTGCAATGTTTACACTGTACCTTTTTCCCTTTTAATTATTGAAGGTTCGCAAACATATGAATTATTTACATTTAACCAAAAAAAAAAAAAAACAAAAACCTTTTTGTGTGGTTTTTGCAGAGTGGACGCGGAGACTTAATAGACTGTGTGGATATCAATCATCAACCGGCATTTGATCATCCATTGCTCAAAGATCACGAGATACAGGTCAACATAGAAAGCGCAGATGAAGCAAAGAAATATAACTCATTAATACAGTCATGGCAATTAGACGGGCAATGCCCTGATGGAACCATTGCAATGAGAAGAATAACAAAGGAAGAACCGGCTCCTGCTAACTCAATCAACATCAATTTCTTCAGCAGTTTTCGAGGTAAATCAACTGCTGGTATCGACAAGGGTTTTCCACAGGTATGCATAGGTATATGCATGACACTTTAAAAAGGAAAATATGGTCCGTCTCAAAATAATTATTCAGTCTGGATTTTTCATATTAGTACAGACAGTTATTTGTGAACAGGAGTATATAATTGTCTATTCGAAGCATTTTGAAATTCAAAAGTTGTTTGGTTTAGTAGTTACATGGCCGATTTTCTTCTAATATCCGCCTATGTTTTTTATTTTCAATTCCACGAAGTGGGTATTGAGTCTTTTTTAAAAAATTCTTTCTTTTTTCATTTTTTGCCCCTTTTCGTTTTGCTTGGAGTTTATTCTCATTTGTTAGTTTTTTTTTTTTTTTTTTTTTTCTTTCCATCTCTACGTGAGGCTGCGGTTTTAATCGTAGAAAAAGATGGGTACTATGGAGGAAAGGCAATCATGAATTTATGGGAACCCCACGTTCGGCCAAATGAATTCAGTGCATCCTATATGGCGCTTGCAGGAGATTTTTCTGCTCCAGAACTAAACGTTATTGCAGCCGGTTGGCATGTAAGATTTTCACTTTGTATGTCGGTCAATCATCATCGTCATCATCATCATCATCATCATTATTCTTATTATTATTAATAGTAGTGTTGTTGTTGTTGTCGTCGTCTTTGCTGCTAGCTACAACAAATAATCAAACGTACAAAAGATAAAAACTAAAATTGCGAAATGAGTATATTTTTATTTCCACCGAAGAATCCCCTTTCTATCTTTACCCGTGCAATGGATGATGAATTAATTTCATTTTTTACTTGTAACCAATAAACAGGTGGTCCCGAAAAAGTACGGGGGTAATAGAACAAGATTTTTCGCCGGCTGGCGGGTAAGCATTATCAACGAGTCCTTTCACAACTCTCCATTCTTTTTTAATTCAAAGTCATTTGACATTATAGTACGGTGGATTGGTACCTAAGTGGTGTGGAACTGTTTTATTTCTTGTAGGGAGCCAATTCTACGGGATGCTTGAACTTGGAATGTGCAGGATTTGTGCAAATCAGCAACGAAATTGCACTAGGAGCAACTTTTCCCGAACTCTCTAGCATTGATGGTTCTCAATTTGAGTTTTCTGTGATGATCTCTAAGGTAAACTAGACAAAATGATGGGAAAAAAGAACATGCACCGTTTGATTACTTTTCATTGAGAAATTCATTGCTTGTATCAAATACTTTGCGGCGTCTCTCTTTAATACGCTGAATGGCATTGAGGATGTAGGACACCTCATATTTACGACTCCTTCTATATTAGAATTGTTGAAATATTTATCCCACATTAGTGTCTGGAGACACTTTGTATCAATATATAAGCACCATGGGCTACTCCCCTTATTGCCAATTGGTTTTGAGGTGGAACCCCACGTGCTTCTTTAAGAATGATTATTCAATTTTTAATTTTTAGGTTTGGTAAATTTTCTGGACGAAAGTAAATTTATGTTTCTTTTTGTAAAAACAAAATTTCCCTTAATTGCACCTTGGAAAAGATTATTTTTTGAGTAATTTAATGATATATATTTTCCAAAGCTATTTTCTAACCTATTCATCCATATATGGTCAGGGTGAACAAGGCTGGATGTTACAATTTAATGACACCATACTGGGTTATTGGCCATACTCATTATTTACAACCCTAGGTCCGATTGCACCTGCATCAACGGTTCAATGGGGAGGAGCAGTATTGAATTCACAAATTGACGGAAGACAAAGTACAACAACTGAAATGGGCAGTGGCCATTTTGCTGAAGAAGGGTTTGGGAGAGCAAGTTACATGAGACAACTTCAAGTCATGGATGAGACCTCCAAATTAAGGGGACTTGAATCACCAACCATCGCAGTTTCCCGACCAAGTTGCTACAATATGAAATATGGAAACAGCGTGCTTTGGGGTGATGTCATTTTCTTTGGGGGTCCCGGAAGAAATCCTAATTGTCCATGACCGAATTCATGGAAAAATGTTTAACACATTATCTTGTCACATATCTTCAGGGGTCAAAACAACCTTCTTTTTTTTTTTTTTTCTCCCTTCAATAATTTTTGCGGAAGCCAAATTGGTTTCCGCAAAAATGAACAGTCACCTCCATACTGATCGAGTTGTAGAATCTTCACCACCTAATATGAAAGCATGGAGATTTTTCATTTTCAATTTAACCGGCATTTTAAGATAACAATGTTTTGTGTGTGTAAGATATTTATTTCACAGAATTTGCTACAATTTTCTTCAAATTCATTTGTTCCCAAATTAATTCCCTATCGAAAAATCCACCGGGCATGCACACTTTAAAGTAATTTGAGAATAATAAGTCTACCTACATATATACTAGCTATAGGAAGTGTTTAAAAAAAAAAAAAAACATACCATGAATGTCATAAAATCAGAAAATATCACAAGATATTATATCCATACAGCTTTACACCACTCGTCCCGTACTTTCAGTGGTCAAGGGTATGAATTTATTTATTTATTTATTTATTTTGGTAAATTGTGAATTTGTATTACTTCATGAACAAGGAAAGTTTACATATTTACATCTTGCTGTCACATCAATGCCAAGACTTTTTTTTGAAAAAAAAAAATTTCATTTCAATAGACTCCAATTAAATGTGGGTAAAATCCCACTTACAACCCGTGGTTGAAATTGAACCCTGATTTATTACCAAGAATAACAACAACCTAACCACTAGATTATCGTTTAATTCCCACACCAATGCCAAAACTAAGTAAAAACCGAACATCATCTCCTCTACCATTTATGTATTTGTACAAACTAGACCATTTGATCTCATTTTGTAACCTGTCCACTATGCTGCATGCTTCTTCATTTTTGTCTCCAAATTTGCGAGCATTCCTTCCCGACCATACATGATACACAGTTGCATTAACACTAGCAAACAGTACACGTCTTTTTACTGTTTTGTACCTCCAAATATGTAACAATCTTCTTGCATTCAGACTGACAACACTCCTCATCCCCAGCCAACTCTGAATTCTGTTCATGATCTCTTTAGAATATGCATATTTGAAGAATAAGTGGCTAGTTGACTCCTCTTCTTGCTTACATAGAATACACAGCTTATCAGTGTGCTTCGGCCAAAAAAAATTTCAAAAAAATAATGAGGACAAAAGTAAATTTTTTCTGTTTTAGGTGCACAAAACTAGTTGTCACTGATTTGCCAAATTCGAATCTACCAATTTTGCAATAGATTTGGATTTAGCAAATCCGAATCTATCCCATAAAAATAATGCATCAGATAGCTATATTATAAAGAGACATAGATTCGGATTTGGCAAATTTGACACAATTAGATTTGTCCACATCACTGCACAACATATATTTTTGTCGAGATCCTTCCATTTAAAATTATTTCGGTAAAAAACTCTATCATCTATAAGGATGTTCATCTTCATCATTCTGTCAATGCTCAAGAGCGTGTCTTGACAGGCCAGCCAGCTCAGAAACTATGCTTTGGTACTGAGTATTTGCTCCAAATGATGGGAGCATGTATCATCTTTACCTTTGCACCTCATAGTCACTGATAACCACTTCTGGTACTGTAAGCCCTCCATCCATTACTATTCCACCTACTATTTATCAATCCAGTGCTCAATTTATTTCTGATCATCCGTAATTTTTTCTAAAGCCAGCTGCAATCAGTTGGAGGTTGAGTGGTGCAACAAATCCAATTTATGTATACGTGTTGGAGAAATAGCCCAAATGCCAAAATAATTATAATATTTTATATTTTGTCAACTCAAGCTACGTAGAACTTTTAATTACTATGCACAAGTTTCTAATTTATGTTCTCATTTCAACTCAAGTTAAAGCATTTTTATCTCTATTTTTGTTATGTAAATATACCAGTGATTTTATTCAGTAAATTTCACATTTTATAAAATTAGACTATTTCTTTTTAAAACCAAATCGTTTATGAAATTAGATTTTTTTATTTTATTTTATCTGTGGCAGATGCTGTACAAACGCAACTCATCTGCATTACCTGGGAGTCAAAAGACCAATATGTTTCAATCATTACCAAAATACAACTAATTCTAGCCATGTGCCACCTGAACCGTCACAAACCGAGAATTTAATGGCAAAAATTGCGCAATCATCGCACTTAATCAAAATTTAGTTACGAATAAAATATGAGCAAATCCGCGTACGTGGCGATTAATACATAAGTCAACCCCAGCCCTCGTTATTTAGTCAATTAGTTGCTTTCAAGTTCATCGTACATATCCAGCATCAACCCATCATAAAACCTTAACAGAATTTTATTACGTGAATAAGTCAACCAACGATCATTTAATATAAAAAAAAAAATTTTCATTTGAGTAATGGACAACCAGTGCGTAAACATGTACTCCTCTATAATCAAACCAATAGCAGAATTAAAGGATACTTAATCTACGGTCAAGAGCCAATTTACTTCTTCTGCCATATTTTAATACTCCCTCTGTCCCACAAAAATAGTTTACATTGAGTTTTGAGTTTTGTACTATTTTTAGTACAAATTTGAAAATTCAATGTGGACTATTTTTGTGAAACGGAGGTAGTACTTTATCTTGTTAAACTAAAACGTTTTTGACAAGATATCTCACCCATCTAAATACCTTGAATTCCACGAGAAAGATTAATTCGTATGGTTGATACGTTACACACATGCAAAATTACTTGATGAGACAGACAAATGATTAAGACCTTAAGATGCTACGAAAGAACTGTTAATTACTAGGCAAGCTAATTAATGATCCATTTCTCCCCTTCATAGATTTAGATAAAATCCCACAAGAAATAACTTTTCTTCTTGCCCGGGCCCTTTTTTTTTTCTTTTTTTTTTTTCCTTCTTTGGTGTGCCTGGTGTATACTTTTTGTTTTGATTCAGATTGTAGGCCGAACAAACTAAATTCAGCTTTCAAAGATGAAAGGGGGAATGTAGGAAGTCTTTTACACGTACGTACTGATTTTACTCAACTTGCCAAGTCCATTTTAGGGCGTCATCGACTTGGTTACATGTAGCTTAGAGTAAAATTCGTGAATTAAAATCTTATACTCCCTCTGTCCTAAAATTATTGTCCAGTTTAAAATTTCACTTTTAGTACAATATGAACTAGAAATGAAAAGCTAAACTGGACAATAATTATGAGACGGAGGGAGTAGTATATTGTCTATGTTGTGTCCATGGTCAGATTTCCTTTATTATCGAATGATTTTGACTCGAGCGATATTTTCTTTTTTATATAAAACACCTCGTATCTAAATTTATGACAAGTCCAAATTCATGATTTTTACATACCCATGAGAAACAACGAAGCACACTTATATTTAAAGGGATATGTTAGATTAACATGCCCAGTCATTATTGAACCAATTAAGGATAGCAAGTTTCATTAAAATAAGAGGAATCGGGGGAGTCGGACCATTTGGGTGGTTTCATTCAAAACCCCTGTTATGAAAATATTATAAATCGGGGTAACAGAAATTAAATACTACTACATTATAGTTTATGAATTTTGGAAATTCGGAAAATTAACTCACCAAAAAGTGCATCAATCTTACCTTACTGTTTCATTTAGTAAAAATTATGAATCACAATTATTAGCCTAAGTCAACACCAGGAAAAAACAATTAACTTATTATTCATCAGAATCTAATTATTTGATCGAAAAAAAAAAAATTGCTTAATCTACGAAGGTTTTAATTACATGTACGATGTTTTTCTGATCGCTTATATATGTCCGAGCACAACCTAAAGTACGAACAATCAACTCTCCTCTCACTACTAATAATATTGCTATCTCTCTACAATTTGCAACTTAGCCTTTGCGTTTGGGGAAGATGAAGCTAAAAGGACAATACTTGAGTTTTCTTCTCGTATTGGTTATCACCGCCACCATTAAATTGTGTGATGCTTCAAGAGACAACACAATCATCAAGACCATCAAGGTACTTACGTAAGAAGCATTGTGGCACATTTTTATTCAATCATTTTTTTTTTGTTATTCATATATGAAATTCTCTCTTTCCCAAAATTATTGTCCAGTTTGAATTTTTATTTTTAGTTTAAATTGTACTAAAATTGAAAATGTAAACTTGACAATAATTTTAAAACAGAAGGAGTACGAGAATTTAGAATACCCCAATTAGCCCGTGGTACGATCTTTAATTTGTTTCTTTTAAATAGGATGTTAGAGAGTGTTATTTATAAAGCTTGATTTGTGTCGTGCAAATGTGCATTAATTTTTTATTTTTTATTTTTTTCCCAACGGCACTATGGCAGTGTGAAGACGAGGATGTGATCGACTGTGTGGACATCTCCCATCAGCCAGCCTTTGATCATCCTTCACTTAAAGGCCACACCATTAAGGTTTTGATTATTTTAGCTTAATTCGGAACACAATCTTTTTTTTTTTTTTTTGGTGCAATTCATTCTGGTTTCCTAACATTGTTATTTAAGTAGGTAAAATTAATAATTTCATTTATTAATTGGTGCACTAACTACCGGTTAATACATGACTAATAATTTTGCAGACGAAACCAAGCAATTATCCACCAGGACTCAAGTCAAATGATGATAACAAAACAGAAATCACACAGCTGTGGCAGTTAAGTGGGGAATGCCCTGAGGGCACCATTCCAATTAGAAGAGTTAGTGAAGAACAAAAAAGGGCCGTTAAAAAGCAGAACCAAAACATAATTCCTCGTGCCTCTAATTCAGCTGAGAAGCCTGCCCTCTTCCAATTGCGTCACGAGGTAACACTACTAATTGTTAACTAATGCTCCCTCCGTCCCGAAATTATTGTATAATTTGAGTGTTCATCTTAGTTCAAATTGTACTGAAAGTCAAAAACTAAATTGGATAATAATTTTGGGAAAGAGGTAGTTTTAAGTTCAAATGTTGAAGAACAAAACAAAGATGGTAGAATGTTGGTGTTCGAAGCTTCCAATTATCAATTTCTTTTACACATTTTATGGCCTGGGAAAGTCAAAGAGAATGTATTGTGTCTGTTTTGATCACATATTATATGCACGACA